CATTCTACCCCCCACACCCCGACCTTCCCAGCAGATGAAATGTCTACCTTGAGAGCAAGCATCTTGCTAAACTTCTCCTGTCCTAGGCAGGCGTTCACAAACTCGTCCTTGCTGATCTTTCCGTCCTCGTCCTGTAACAGAGGACGTTTTATTTTAATCATTCAGACCAGATTATTTATTTAATTAAAAATCCCCCCTCTGGCCAATATTTGTTTTTTTGAAAATATTTAATCTGTTTTGCAAAAAGTATTACTTATATCGTGAATATAAGAAGATTAGAAAATTGCAAATACTAAATTCCATTGTATCTTTAAAATTACAAATATCAAACCTCAATTGATCCTTTTTGTTTATACTAAAAGTGACTGTTCACTTTGATAGGAAACTTTTTTTTAAAGAGACTGGTCGTGATGATATTTTTAAGTTTAAAACCTGATCCATCTCAGCAAATGCTGACTTGGTGATAAAATCCTGGCTTGCTTGTTCAGCATTCTCGTCCTTCAGGAGTCCATACATGTCCTTAATAAGTAGGATTTCCAGTTTTTTTTTTCAATCAATCCGGATCGTTAAAGACCTTTCGGAACCTTTCCTGAAGCTGTTAAGAATGACAATTAAAACTTTTGGAACTTTTTTACCAGACTTTACATAAAATTCATCTTTGGCTTAGTTTTAGTAAGGGAGGGACTATTTGGCACTTTTTTGATAAAAAAATTCAGATCCTTTCAGCAAATTTCTATTTTTTCGTGGATTTTGTGCATAAAATATTATAAAAAAAAATTGTTTTGGTTTATTTTGAAAAACAATTTCAAGAAAAATTCTGAGATAACTCAATGCACCATGCACATGGTTAATAGACATTTATTTTTTTATACAGGGTGTCCCAATAAACAAGGGAATTGAGTGACTTATTTGAGATCGTCTTTGTTAAGAATTAGCATTGTAATACCTGATATTAAAGCCATTATCTAATTATGTCTGCTATAGTTTATTTTACAAAAATGTAAAATGGCCGCAATATTGTGTCTGTAATCCCTCTGCCAGATCAACAATGAAGACGTACATGTTTACATACTATGCTTGTATACTGTGTATATTCTTGTTTTACTAAACATAAACAAAAACATTGTAAACATAGCAGACGAAAATCCTACGGATTTCAGCTTTCTCAGTAGGTTTCACTATACTAAATAAAAGAATTATTTAAAAAGACAATATCGAAATTGTCACTCAATTCATGCCCTCTATTATAAAGATGAGTAGTGTAAGAGGGGTTGAGCTAGACGAGTTTGAGGGGATTTTTTTGAGGGACCCTCAAAACAGAGGGTTATTCCTAGACGAGTTTGAGGGGTAAATATATTCCCCTCAAAAGTGGGTGAGGAAAAGTTACCAAGGAAACCTATTTACCCATGAAATTATTAATTTTTTTTGGCGCTCAAAAAACTTTTTTCCATCCCCCCCCCCTCCCTCCCTT